CCGGTTCGTAAGAGGCATTTCTTCAGATATCAGACTACACATGTTTCACTGTATGTTTTTGATTCCCTAAAAAGAACCGGTTTATAAGAGTCATTTCTTCAGATATCAGACTACACGTTTCACTGTATGTTTTTGATTCCCTAAAAAGAACCGGTTCATAAGAGTCAATTGCTCAGAAGTCGGACTACACACGTGTCGTACTGTATGTTTTTGATTATCTAAAAAGAAGCGGTTCATTTGAGTCATTTGTTCTGGAGTCGGACTACAAGATTTACTGTATGTTTCTGATTAACTAAAAAGAACCAGTTAATAAAAGTAATTTGTTAAGGAGTCGGACTACACATTTTATTGTGTTTTTGATTCATTAAAAAGAACCGGTTCATAAGAGTCATTTGTTAGGTGTTTGATTCACTAAAAAGAACTGTCTCAAGTCATTCATTCGGAGGTCATACGACACAGTCATTTGTTCGGGAGTCATACTACACTGACTCAGTAGCGCCATTTGGTAAAATAAGCAAATATTGGTTCCCAAACCTTATTAAACAGCATTTTTACAAATGAATAATGCAAAAAGAATAGCTTTATTATGTATACTCTAATTCTAAGGCACTACTAAATTATTCAACCCTCTTCAATTCATGTTCATTTGGATGATACCGCTTTTTGCCAATACATACAGCTTTACTGAAAAAGCATGTTTCAAATATCACAATCAAGAAGCCAATACAATGCAAAGAGAATGCCTTTATGATGTATAGAGGCTTTATAGATTTATGTAGTATTATATACACAGGCTTTATACAGTTGCTTCTAGTAGGCTAATAGTCTTGGTCACTAACAACTAATATTTAAATTGGATGGTGCTCTTTCAGATCAAGGACCTGTTTGTCTGCTGGTAATGTCATGAAGAGCTCCTCCATTATGTATTAATACAGCACTGATAAATGCTGCCTTATTTGGGGTCTGTCATGAACAGATGGACTTCTGCTTTCCTCTGATTTGGAACCTCAGATAACTCGCCTGGGCACATCAGGTCATTATAAAATACAGACAAATAAAACAAAATAGAGGACATATAACATATTAATGATGCTTAATACAACAGCTGTGAATGACTGGCAAACAGGGCAAGCAGAGTAGCAAATTATATCACATCTGCTGTCAAAGAAAATTAGATTTTTACATTTTATGAAGAAAATGAGTGGTGCTTGCCCATGAAAATGTCATCGCCACAATGTGAGCTGAGTGGTTGCCAGGGTGTTGCTATATGGTTGCTAAGGTGTCCTGAGGGTTTCTTGTGTTTCTATGCAGTTGCTAGGGTGTTTTGGACGTCATAAGAGCCCACCCTCAATTCACTATAATATCTTGGTTTCAAGATAAGTCTGCAATAAAAATAAGAATAAGAATGGAAAATTATGATTATAATTATGATGAAAATTTCAAAAAAGTTTATTACAGAGCAGCCCATTTTAAATTATGCCATTTTTAGTTGTCTGACATTCAAATAATAATAATAATAATAATAATATTTTTAATTTACAAACAATATTTTTACTGTAATAGAACACACCTTTATAAAAACTGCGCAATTTGAAATATTATTTATGTAAAAGCTATATGACAAAGTTTAATACTTAATAATAATCTCATCTAACATAACACAACACAACACATCACATCACATCACATCATATAGTAATATATAGAGAACCAATTTCATTATTTCATTATTCATTATTTATCATTATTAATATAAACCCATTTTAAATTAAATTATTAAAGAATATTTTATGTAATAGCACACACACACCTTTTAAAAAAAACATAATTTGAACATGTAAAATTTATAATTTGAAAATTTAACATGTAAAAACTACACGCCAAAGTTTAATAGTTATGGTTTTGTTCAAATCCCTAACCCTAATGAGCAAGCATCAATAACAAGACAACAAAACGGCGATAAATAGGATGGTAGTTAGTTCTCATTACAAAGCCATTAACAGATTGCTGTGACACAAATCATATTCTTAAGGAATATTTAAAACTCATCAGCTCAGTTAATCAGAACTGTTCAGTCTGACTTTAAAAGACTCTCTTTTGAGTTCACAACACATATGCAAAAATGAACAGAAACGAATAACTGTTTTCACTAAAGCCCTGGACAATAACACTAGCATTCTCTGCAACTTTAATTAAAGCGGCAGATTCACCATCGCTTCAGTTCTGGAATGTGAATGGCATGAATGAACGTCCCTCTGGATCTGGATTTTAATCTAAATTCACATGTTCCGACACGTCCCTCACTCAGTTTGATTACTGTAATTGGAGATTTTCCCTCTTACCTACTCTAGTTCTTGGGTAATTCCTGCTTAATATGAATAAATAAATAAATTACACTCCCAACAAACATCTCAAATTCCCTTGAGGAACTTCCACTGCATGTAAGGGATATATTCTGAATATTATAAGAGAATTAGTTTCAGCAATTAGTTTCAGCAAATGGCACAGAATATCGGTCTGATTTGAAATGGAAATCATTTTTGGACCACGGCTGCTTGTTTTCACGCTGGTTAATTGATTCAGCGATGGGCAGGGTGTTGGTTTAACGCGGCTGAACATGTTTGTAATGCTAAAGACGAAGCGCCAGGCCAAGAGCCGACTCTCGCGAGCTGAGTTAATGCAGAACAGGGAGATTTATCAGCAGTCAGGGTCAAAACCAGCACACTTCTTCCAGTGTTTGCACATTTGTATTCCACCCACACCTAAAAAGAAATATTCATCCAGGAGAACATATGTTAACTGCATCACATTAATGAAGCGTAGAAGAATGAAAGAATGTGTGAGAGAGAAAAAGTAAAGACAAAAGCTAAGTTTCCTCCTCAGATCAAAAAAAAAAAAGATCCATCGTAAAATGTGTGTAAACTAGGATTGGGCGATGTCTACCAAATTGGCATCGGACGTTGTCTACAGTGAAACCTCGTGATGGACGATGACATCGGGGGGCGGGGCAGGGTTAGGGGTGTGCCCGAAGCATGAAACAAATAACGCGTTATACAGAGTCACTAAAAGTTTAGCTGCTTGCTAGCGGTAGCCTGTTGCATTACAGTACATGAAAGTTCACTTACCACATACACAGAGTAAGGAGAAATGTCTGATAGGACGATGGCGAATGATTTACAGATCCTGAGCACCAATGACAAACATCTAATCTTGTCAAATGTGTGGTAAGTACTGCCGCTCCATAGTATAGAGTCCTTGTGATCGCGAATCTCAAAAGTGAAAGTGAAAGTAAAATAAGAGCGCACAATCAAAAGCGTTTTTTTACAGTCGCCTATACTTACCCAACGATATAATTGTGAGAAAAAGTATTGAAATATTTTTTTATCCTCCCATCTTCGTAGGCTATTTATCGATGGACGATGGCATTAAATTAAATTAAATTAAATTAAATTATAGAGCATCCATGTCATTATTTAAAACCAACTTTAAATCATATAATAATAATAATAATTATTATTATTATTATTAATAATAATTATTATTACTACTACTGCTACTATTTAGAAATGTAAAACTTTAAATTTTAATATAAAATTTTTACTTTTTTAAAATTGTATTTTATATATATATAATATATAAGACGGTTCTAATCAAACAGTAAAGTTTAGCAGACATTCAATGACATCTTTAGCTAACTGACTGTGGTGTTTCCTTGAGGTGTGTTATGTGGAGCAGTCAGTTCAGGTCATGTATCTGGGTCAGACCCGTATCAGCCTGCTGCCACCCGCAGGTCTACATGACATAATATAGAGCAGAGATGCTGAAAATGATGATTACTGAATAAGAGAGAGATTCACGATTTATATGCCTGGTGCACATCCATACTGATGTTTCTTTACCCCTATACGTCTGACAGAAAATGTCACAACTCAATCCATCACCTCACTTCTGACATGCTTTTCAATCTCCAGTCTCTATTCAATAAATGACTTGCATGAGAGACAGACTGATAACCCCCGCATTAAATTCCATAGATTTACCACAAGAAATCAACAAATTCTCCTTGAGAGACTCTAGAGGCAATGAGTCAAGTGTAAAGCAATACACTGGCCCCAAAAGAGTATTTCTAAATCATTCATTTTTGACAATATTTTAACAAAATCTGCACACAAAAAAAACAACAACTTGCATATCAAGGTCAACAAATGCAAAAGTGCATTGGACGCTCTTCATTCGAGCATCTGTGCATGTTTTACATAACTCGAGACTTGCCCTGCTGTGGTGTTTAGTGTTGGATTAGAAATGCTTATCAAATCCACATTTGGGTCTTGGATGCTTTATAAGAGAAAGATGGCTGCTGGCTGTCTCTCATATAAAACAGGTGTTTGTGTTCACATGCAACAGGCATTTGTTTGTCCCAGGCCAAATGCGCAACCCCTTCTGTGTTTACATGCAATCCTGAAGAGAAGATGACCGTGTTCACTCTGAAACGCATCTTTCACTCAACGTGTTCACAATTACAGCACGGAGTGACGGACGGTAAACAAGCAAATAACATCTACTCTCACAGGAATCCAAACAAGCCAACTCACTGACACATCTGTAAATAAACTAGTACATTAGCATGCACCTCAGGCACCTTATGGTAAGGGTCTCTTGGGATGCGAATCGTCAGGAATGTAGTGATTCTGGATGTGATTCTACTTAATGATTCCATTGAACTGAATCTTTTTGGACTATTTTCTGGAGGTTAAAATGAAATTCAACCTTGAACAAGAAATGACTTCATTTAGCTTCTACGAACAACTTGTTCCCTGTTATGAGGAGAAAAGACAAAAAATAGCAGCATGGGTTCACATCAGGTGATGTGAGGACGGGGTGATAACCAAGCGGCGCGGTATGTGCTCGAAGTGACACACTGACTCCATTCACAACACTGCGTGAGATCTGAGAGCGAGAGCCCTGCCGACTGCCGCAGATGACAATGAAAGGACACTAACTCTGGCGAGGAGGCTGATGGGGTCGAGGCCGGGCGGAAGCTGAGACAGATCGTGGTTCTCCTCACCGAGATAAACCTGCAGCGTCGTGCAGAGGTGCCTCAGGCCTTCTTTCTTCTCCTCGCTCATGTCTGCAAGATCTGCACACACAGAACACAGCGCTTTCAACAACAGCGATACATATGAATGATTCTGCTAACAAGCAAAAAATGTTTTGTTCTTCTCTTTCAAAAAAAAAATAATAAACTAAACTAGTGTTATAATGATATGTTTCTAAAAACATATTACTATCTTATTAAATCAGAGTATTACCATAGTACATGGGCAAAACAATTGTATTAAAGGGGTCATATGATGCGATTTCAATTTTTCCTTTCTCTTTGGAGTGTTACAAGCTCTTGGTGCATAAAGAAGATCTGTAAAGTTGCAAAGACTAAAGTCTCAAATCCAAAGAGATATTCTTTATAAAAGTTAAGAGTCGCTCGATGCAATGCAACGCGTAAACAGACAGTATAAGTCATTATAATCCGTAATTATGTCCCCACTGGATGCAACAAATGCCTCGTTTATAATGGGTTTTAATGTTTTTGTCTCATCGCTCCGGCCGGGACAAGGCATCACAATATGGCAAGGGGCGTAACATTTCCGTCACACGCTTGAGGTATTCGGCCAATCACAACGCACTGGATAGCTGGCCAATCAGAGCACACCTCACTTTTCAGACCGATGAGCTTTGTAAAAATCGACGCGTTTCAGAAAGGCGGGGCATAGAGGAGAAACAATAGTGTACAGTATGTGGAAAATAATGTGTTTTTTTAACCTTAAACCGCATAAACACATTTAATTACACCAAATACACAAAATAATGTTCTTTTTAGCAACATCATATGACCCCTTTAACATCATATATGCATTAAAATAATACAAACAAGGTACTATTACACATTCAAAAACATTTTACCATGGTACATATATATATATATAAA